AGAGAGAGAGAGAGAGAGAGAGAGAGAGAGAGAGAAGTATTAAGAACTCCAAGACACATTTTTCAGGACTCGTGACTTTCACACCGGATTACTTTACGGGTCGAAAAATTTACCTGCAGGCCCACCCGCCGGCCTTTTTATCTAGAATTTCCAACACTGGACAAGTGGGAAATTCCACAAGTTTTTTATTTTTCTTTTATTCAAGTTCAGTTCGATATCAGAAACACCACACAGCCTTATTTGTTGAGTTGTTCAGTGTTTGAAATGTCGAACAGCTCAAAAGTCCAAGTTCCTAGTGTGTCCAATTTACCAATATCGAACAGCAATTTCTGCGGTTTTTTCTTAATTTTCAGCTATCTAGTATTTTTTATACCGGACAGCTTGAAACCTAAAAGAAAGCCACAATTTCTATTGTGCAATATTGCTAATATCAGACATCCTAGGAAACCTACACTGTCCAACATTACCAACACTGAACAGCCAACAGATAGTGTTGTTCAGTGTTTTGAATATTGGACATTACCCATATAAACAAAAAATTAAAAAAATTGGAAAATTTCCCTCCTCTTCAGTATTGGAAATGTCAGACAGGTTGGGTGGCAAGGTAGAGGGCGTCTCCACATAATTTTCAACAAAATGTGGAGCATCTTGTAACATAGAGGACCAAATATGTAACATACGTAATTGTTCCTTATGGGTTTCATATGTCAGTTAGCAACACAGGGCTTACAAAATTTTCATATTTAAGGTACTGCTAATAAGAATATAGACATGGATTGTGCTAATCCTTTCAATAATAGGAGAAAGCAGCCTTCCTCAAAGACATGGCGAAGCCAATGAAACAATGGACAAACAAAGCAAGTTACAAAACCAATGAACTATAAAACAGCATAACCTGTTGATGAAATGGTGATAGAGATGAGGGGAACCAGCCATAAGTGAGCACACCCCAAGGACTGATCCCAGTCTATTCATCACTATGCATCATGTCATCCAACAAGGATGACCCGATGGACCCTGGACTCCTGTAGTTCGATAGATTATAGTGTACTAAGACCTAAAAAAAAATATAGCACAGGGACAAAGGAACTTCCATTAGAAAAAAAAAGTACAGGAACAAAGGAACTATACCTCTTATATAAAGAAGAAAGATTAAAAAGGTGCATGATACAGGTAACAATATATGCTTCAAAAGGCGCATTATAAACAGACAACAAGGAATATGGGTGATAAAAGATAGGACATACCAGTGCAAGAAAGCCTTCCTCCTGAACATGGCAGTGAACTGCTCACTCACCCTCCTAAACATCTCCTGAATAGAGGTCGAATTCCCAATAAAGGTCGAAGCCATAGAAAGGCCCCTAGGAGGGATATCGCACACACTCGACTTCACATTATTGGGGATCCACTCCACAAAGTAAGAGGAGTTCTTATTTTGCACATTTATCATTTGCTCATCAACTTCTTTAGTCGACATTTTCCCTCTAAACATGGCAGAGGCAGTGAGATATCGGCCATGCCTTGGGTCCGCAGCACACATCATGTTTTTGGAATCCCACATTTGTTGGGTGAGTTCAGGGACAGTTAGGGCACGGTATTGTTGGGAGCCACGAGAGGTCAGAGGGGCAAAACCGACCATGAAGAAGTGGAGGCGGGGGAAGGGGATGAGGTTTACGGCGAGCTTTCGGAGGTCGGAGTTGAGCTGGCCAGGGAAGCGGAGGCAGCAGGTCACACCCGACATGGTGGCCGAGATGAGGTGGTTCAGATCACCAACTGGAGACAGAGAAGGGAGTGGGTGAGTTTGACTTAGTAACAAAAACTAAGAGAAGATGGGAATCATACAAGAACATAAGAGACGCATATGAATGACACCAAAAAAATACCCATGAACATTAGAAATAATGTACATGTCATAGTAATAAAGCTCATTCTTCAGAATTTTTGGGGAGGTCATGTCATGAGTGATTTGGGTTCTCAAAAAGTTACGATTCAGCTTTTGGCATTAAAATAAAGGAATGAAAAACAGAGGAAATATGAAAAACTGAAAATCTTCATGAAAGAAGTAAAAAAACACAGCCAATAATCTGAAAAGTTGATATAAATTTAAGCTCCATTGAATGTTTAGACGAGTCCTGTGTATTAATATTTAAGCTTAAATTCACTTCTTTTTCTTTTCTGCTTACAAAACATAAAGAATTCAGGGAATAAAATCTCGCAACACTATCGAAAACAACTTTCAATAGCAATAAAGTGTACAATCATACCATCTTATCATTACAAATATATACTTCATCATTACACATAAATACACTGCCTGCAGTGCCTATAGTGGGCATTAATAAAAGCAAAAGTATAACATAAACAGCATACATAAGTTACATTATTACACATTAAGTGATTCACCATGAGTTCCTGTTTACGAGGCAGTGGAGATTAAAAACATCCAGATGAATGTACTGCTACTACGAACTACGGTTAATCCCCCCTATCAATCATTGTTAGATGACAGTGGATGACTGTGTTGTGTATCACATAGCATAAACAAGACATGTGGGACATACTTCCACTAAAATTAATAATCAGAAGGACAACAGCACAAATAGAATCTGAAAAGAATCAGACGCCAAGGGCAAATTGTGAGCAATAAGCGAAGTAATAACTTACAACTTGGGGTGGTGAGTTTCAAGGTCCTGAAACAGATATCGTAAAGGGCCTCATTGTCAAGCACCATACACTCATCTGCATTCTCCACCAGCTGATGAACAGAGAGAGTGGCATTGTATGGCTCAACCACAGTGTCTGAGACCTTTGGGGATGGGAACACAGAGAAAGTGAGCAACATTCGATCTGGATACTCCTCCCTGATCTTCGAGATTAATAGCGTGCCCATTCCAGATCCAGTCCCTCCTCCAAGAGAATGGCATACTTGAAATCCTATATTTTAATGGAGTAACAGCCTCAAAAATAAGTATCTTCAAACCAAATTTGCAAGACAGGAGTCTCTTAGGCATAGTATGAGATTCAAAAATGCAGACAATGATGCAAAATTAAGATAGCTTATCGCAAGTAACATGACAACCTTAACCAAAATGAAAAGAATCATAAAAAAAACGGATGTAATGAATGCGCGTCCAAATGACACGGGAGAAGAAAGGTGTAATTGGTCAAATGTTAGACACAGAGCAATAACTTTCCAAGGACTAAGACCTCATGATAAACACAATCAGATAAAGCTTGAATGGAACTTTAGATTACCAGAGACCAAAGGAAGTGTTGCTCAAAACAGATCTTGAAGTCTAACAATGCATGCATTCAGGATGAAGTTAAAAACTTTGCGGTACTTTAAGGTATAGATGGACCAGAACTACAGTTCCGTGGATATATTCCACTTCAAAGCCCCTGAAACCAAGAGCACGTGATATAATATGAAAAGGCAACCACCAATCCCCAAAACATTTGAACTGAAGTTTAAGATAGAAGCATGAAAAGGTTCAACACTTTCATGATGTAAGTACGAATATGAAAACAGATTTATATTGAATTAAATACAAACTCAGTGAAACAGAAACATCCATAAATTCTTAAAAGCGCCAAGAAAAGAATAATAAGGACTACGGCAAACCAAAAAGAAGAAAAAAATTGAAAAGAACCCACAAACATATTACAGAAAATGTAGAACGGCATAGAACAGATCCTATTGAAGTAAGGTCGTTTTCAGAAACAGATTATTTTTAAGGTAGACATACCAGTAATAAAACTGAGTAATAAATTCAAGTTTGAGGCGGCCAATAATCTTTGAAATTCAGTTAAACCTTGAGATGTGAATAAGGGCTAAAACAGCATTTACCTAAGCCATGAGACGCAAATTACTATCAAACCTTTAAATTGGATTAGGATCCAATGGATCTGAACCCTTACATACTAAAAATATGGGGAGTTTTCCAAAATGATCATACCACTTTTTTTAAGGATGAGGAATTCAGAACACCTAGTTCCAATAAAATTTTCTGAAGTAAATCTAATTCGAGTAACATACATTACATGCATCTCAAGGTTTTATAGTTAAACCACCATATTTATTTACAGCCAAGACAAAATGACCTACAAATTCAATAAATTTCTTCAGAAACCCATCAAACTGGTCAAATTTACAGGCAGGAAAGCCACCTAATTCTCCCATAACAAATAAATTTGCAATATGAAGCTTGCATTTTGAGGTATAGATAGCCAAAAAATCAAAAAGTCGACTAAATGGAACAACAATAAGAAATCAGTGCAAAAAATGAAGCTTAAACTTTGACCTTCAAATGTATACTCCACATATCAAATGAGAGTAGAGGAAATTGCCAATAACCACCATATCTGCACTAATTATGCAGCAGATAAAATTTTTAATGGGAATTAGATTTCCAAAGTATTTTAAATGTTACTGATTAAGTAAAGCCCACAATTGTTAAATTTGTAGCTTGTTAAATTTCCAGAATGACCTTCCTTGAATATGACAATGAAACATTTGCATCCTTCTTATTCAGTTCAATAATCTAGCACAATAACGAACAGGTTGTACGGGATTTTAGAGAGAAATAAAAAAGAGGGGGGAGGGGATAGATATAGCAGTTTTCAAAAATAAAATATATTTAAAAATTTGCTCAATTTTATTTAGCTGATAGAATGGGCCAAACCAGTTCCTCTGACCGGACTGCGTTTTAAAATAGTTTTCAATCAACCCGATGTTTATCTTGGACTAGTTGCCTATTACACCGTCCAGAAATTCAAGCAGTCGGACCAACCGATCACACTAAACGAAGAGTATTACGATTTACGACAAATGATGCGACCTTTTGGTAATTTTTTACCCGTACATTAACCCAAAGATCGTAAACCTGCAAATTTCAAAGAGGCCAGGACCCCGTCGTCATTGGCGCAAACGATTGGGCTAATTTTGTCAGTTCGACTGAAAAAGCACTTCATCAGTGAGAATATTGGACATGGGACTTTTACGAGTTCCCAATGCCGGCCAATAATTACCGGATCAAATTTCAAACAAACTTCGAGTTTGAATTATGAAGATCGCGCCATGGAAAGACGAATTTACCGACATTTTGACCCGATATTTAATATTCACTGACAACTTTTTCTAACTAAAAATAAAATACATAAACAGTTTTTCTGACCAAAAACTGAAGTAATAAAAAGTTACTAACAAATACAACGCAAATTTCCATTTTTAGAAAAAAAAAAAACGACTTTAAATTTTGAAAAATCTCGCCTCTAATGAGCTGACACCCCACAAAATTTCAGCCCGAAATTTACGACAGATCCACGAATCATACGCCATGAGAAAAAAAATCAAAATGGTTACAAAACTATCTCGATTAAAATATCAGATCTCAGTCTCCACTTCCAAAACTCACAGGAAAATTCATCACAAAATGAACATAAAATAGAACCCTAACTACATTGCTAAAAACTCATTAGAAAAAGAATAAGAAAAGGTTAGAAAACCAGCATCGGAAGCAGTCACAATATTCTGCTAGAAATCACTATAAATTATGGTAAAATGATCAGAAAACAAACCTTGAAGGCAATCGCAGTTTTCTGCCTCTTTCCTCACCACATCGAGCACTGAATCAATGAGCTCTGCCCCCTCCGTGTAGTGACCTTTGGCCCAGTTGTTTCCAGCTCCAGATTGACCAAACACGAAGTTATCAGGCCTGAAAATCTGGCCGTAAGGACCAGTGCGCACACTATCCATGGTTCCCGGCTCGAGATCCATTAGAACGGCTCTGGGAACAAACCTTCCACAACTGGCCTCATTGTAATAGACATTAACTCGTTCAAGTTGAAGGTCCAAGGTTCCAATGTATCGACCAGTGGGGTCGATGCCATGCTCATCGCAAACAACTTCCCAGAACTTTGATCCGATCTGGTTCCCGCATTGCCCACCTTGGACGTGCAAAATCTCCCTCATTTTCAAGTTTCAGGTTAACGGAGTGACAGAGAGAGAGTGACGCTGGCCGGAAATGAGGCCGGGAAAACCAGTCCAGCGAGCGTGAAAAGAGCAAATACGCCGGAAAAAGGTTTTCCGGCGCGGAACAAAAAGGCAGTGTGGTGAAGTGAGGTTTGATTGGATTATATAGGGGTGTGAGGCCGAATCTCAAGGTTTCGGACGGTCGAGATTCTTTCCCTCTCTTGTGCTTTTGTTTTAGGACAATCTGGATCATCAGTTTCTAAACAATCGGACGGTTCCTGTGCCGTGTTCCGGATGGTGGTAAGTGGATTTTATTAAGGGGTGACGGAAATGTTGTTGGAATTATTCGAAAATATCGAGAATATCTTCATTTTTTTTATTACTCGAATTACCCCTAACTTCTAGTGATTATGACGGATTGGTCATTTTCGGCTTTTCTTTTTGAGATTCAAATCCGACACGAGATCCCTAAAGGGCAACACGAGCCCTACAGTGTCAAAGCACACACAAAAAAACCCTAATTATCTCAAAAATGTCACTAGTGCCCTCAGATTCTCTATCATGAATCAAATATTTGTTTGGTACACAATATCAATATCTTGGTATCTTCTTAAATTGAATATTGAAATCTAATATTTGGTTGTTCAATGTAATAATTATTTAATGGTTTTTGTACAAGGGAAGTTAACGAATTTGTAAGTATTGCGAATTCTTTTTTCCTTTGCAATAGGTTGATAAGGAACTTTGAGATAGTAAAATTAAAGTAAAAACAATCGTCCTGCGCTAATGATAGTCTTGTCTAGATAAAGGTTATTGATCTACCCAGTAGGATAAGATTTTTAAGGATAAAAAGTATAATTATTGAATTTAAAAATATAAAATATATTATAAAAACAAATTGATCACCATTATTTATCGAGACTAGTGGGTCAATCCAACTTTACTTTAGACCAGTGTAGCTAGGCATGAGCCAATTGTTCAGTCGTTTGTACAAGCAATCTGGTCATGTCTTGATAACATTGATAGATGGCAACATAACAAGCTTGGAATTTGGTTCAAAATATTATTATGTTTATAATTTTAGTAAAAATTCAAGTATTATTTTCCCTGTAGTTTTTAAACTAAGGTCATGAAATCAAGGAAATCCAAAAAAAAAAAAATCTCATTTGCATATATTTTTTCTAATTTCTAGTTATCTTAGTGTATTCTATCATCAATGCTTCACGCACATAAGCCAAAAAAAGTCCATTGCATATATTATTCAGGTGTGGTTTGTATAAGGTTATGGCCTTAAACAATTAAAGTAAGGCGACACATTCAAATAGTATTGAAAGGTATTGTTTTAGTACTAAAAATATTTATAATGGCCTGAAAATTTATTTCTACTGCTAATTATAAAATTTAAAGCTTAACAAATAGTGTAGATCGAGTAGATGTATGAATACTTGAAAATCTTGAAAATCGAGGATCCAAAAAATGCATTACAAGATGCATTATTTCTAAGACTTGAAATTCATTTTCTCTCGTATCCATGCATCTTGACATCGAGATTAGCGATTTGAGGATTTTTGGATATCGAAACGACCTCTTCTAGTGAATTTTTTATGTACCTCTTAATATGATTGTTTAGGGCCTCACTCTTATATAATTTTTTTCCATATTATTTTGATCTCCAAATCACCTACAATATTGTTTTCGTTGAATGTGGTCATTGATGCTAAATTGCTACTATTGTCATCTTTGTTGTCACTTGACCCCATGAACTTCAATTAAATATATGGGTTGTCTAGGAAATGAAATATTTATTTAGGTTTTGGTGGGCATAAATGCTCAAAAGCCATGAGGCCCATTTAGGTCATGGTATCCAACATGCTCCCTTGAAATTACCGACTCCGCACATAAGCAAACATGGGTAGGACGACCCACAAATGCTTACTTTGTTACTTTGCGTGTAATACTACTATAAGATATGTTTAGGATGCTCTTAAGTACTATAATATATATAATTTGAACATGGGAAATTAATTAAAATATACTCAATTTATGAACTATTTAGCATTTTTATCTATTTTTAAGGGTGGCAATGGGCGGGGCCTAGGTTGGTCCACCCTTGGCCCTGACCCTTCTCCGTATAGGGCAGGGCCAGGACCTGTAGGGGCCAGGCTAAAAACAAATGAAGAAAAAACAAGAAGAAAAAGATGGTCGGACTGGGCTGAGCTGGCACTGGCCCTAGCCCGGCCCTTGGGCAACAGTTTGAGGCACAAGCCCTATCTTTTTAGGGTCAGGCCAACCGGGTCAGGCCGGTCACCCTAGCCATTGCCAAACCTAATTTTCAACTACATGATCATGTATATTTTGATGGGTACTCTCACTACATGCTAATGTATTTTTACAATCCGGTGATTTTTTATCTAGATTACCAATATGGATGGGAATCAGTCTAGACCAAGCTGGTTTTGGGTTGATATGGGTCTCCGCTCAATTAACCCCGAAAACCTATTATTGTATATATTTTTTACTTTTTTTTTTTAATAAAAGTTTATCTAATATTTTTTAAAATCCTTTGTAAATCGCACCCTATAACCCCTTATTTTATTATTTTGATTTTATTTATTTTTAATAGATTTTAGATCATCGGTTTACACCCAATCAAGCACGATCCAGATCATTGTTCCAACAAACCGACATCGTTTTGTGGGTGAACAATTTGCCCCACAAATATGGGTTTTAAAACATTTCGTACTCTAAAATTAAATCGAAACATGTCGGTATAGATAACTTCTTAAATGCATTTTGATAAATTTACATTTTAACATTTCATGTGAAGTGTCAAGTGACAACCAAAGCAGCCTAAGGAAAAGTTTATAAATTGAGGTTGTCTATCTTTGGCACTGAACGCCTTTCAATTTTATATATGAGTGAGTGATTGTGATCTAAGTGTACGGAGATAAACAATCTTATAGATCAATATGATATTTTTAGTGATGGCATATAATTTAATAAGGTTTGTCTAGAGTTAACAACCTCTCAAAATACAAATATTCAAGTTATAAGGGGTTGTAATGGGTGTATTTATCAAAACAATCATTATTTTTTAATTAAAAAACTATTTAAATATGTAACTTTACCATTAAAGAAATGTAAATTTCAAATTTTCACAAAATTATAATGACATTTTGAAAGTTAGTGTCTTGAAACTTTATTTGTAGAGTGCCCTTGTCTTTTAGTTAAAATTTCAATTTTACCCCTTATGGAGATGATAAAAATACATTTTATCTTTTAGTAATGTTTACAAATTTACCCCATAAAAATAACTTTTTTCAATAATAAACAAAAAATATAAAAAAATAAATCCACCATTCACAACTCTTTCTATCTTGAACCTTTGTACTTTGAAGGGT